TATGTTATTCTCAGCAATAAAGATTAGAACTTGTGCTATAGATCTATGAACGGGTCTATTTGATCTGTCAAACGAACAATTTTCAGTTACAGTCACAGTTATAAGCCTCCTAGCTATGACTATAAAAAAAACAACACCGTATATGTAGACATAGAATATATTTATTAGATATGATTTTTAGTCTGTCCTTTTGGTTTGAAGAGAGGTGGGAATGATTGGATCGGCTTCTCATCTCCTCTTCTTCAACAGTGACCAACTTGAGAACCGAAACATAATTGGAGAGATAGGAATCTTTTCTCATCAAAGTCCACTTACTTTTGTGAAGTCACTTAAGTGGAACAAACAATAATTCAAAACTTAAAATAATATTCCTCTAACCAAAACTCTTTTCATTTGACGAAATTAATCCTTAAATTAGTAATCGAGTTGGTAATCACTAATTATATATAAAATCTGACATTCACTATCCAAGTTGTTTTCCGATAAGTAGAAAGTATAGCTCGACGTTAGCTTCTGTTAATTTTATATCATTAAGAACATTTCTAACCATTTTTCATCTCCAAAATAGAGTTTAAAGTAAGATTTCATCCAACTCATCTCCATTTTTTTCCTATATTTGAAGATTTCTATTTTTAATCAACACTAAAATTTGGAGATCTCTATCTTTAACTCCAAAATGGAGTAGGGTTGGAACAAAACCCAACTCCAAAATAGAGATATAGGTTGGAGATTGTCTAAGAACAATTCATAAAATAGTATTATCCTGCACTTTACAAGTAGTTTGAATTTTAGCGATTATGTGGTTATTCAGAAAAATTTATATATTTAAAATTAGTATTAAATTCATAGTTAAACGAAAGTTGAAGATAACTTTAAAAAATATTTGACATTCCAATTGTCTTAGTGAAATAGTAGATAAAACTTATATATTAGCTGAATTTTGAATAGTGTGGTAAGTTTAGTGGGTGTAAAGAGCAGTATCAACTATCTAGTAATAACAAAAATTACATGCTGTTAACAACATTACAACAAGTTTTAAGCATCTACATAAGAATATATATATATATATATATATATATATATATATATATAAACTCACTTTTACTTGATTAAACCGGTCATGGAATCTAACTATTTACATGAGCCTAAGAGGTCTTATATTTACGTTTTATCGAAAGGACAAGGAAATATATATTTTCATGATGGTATCAATTATATGAGGTGATATGTCAATTTTCAAAATATTCCATATATACAGAATATTAATGTTCTTAATTATTAGTGATCTCCAAATTAGCGAGGAAGGGTAAAATTAGCCATTATATATATATATATATATATATGTAATATTAGTGCACCACATTTTTTCACTAAAATACTAATTAGTATTTTGCTATATGGAAATATTAATGTTTAACATATTAAATAGTAATGTAAGATTGTAACCTAATATTTTAAGCTAATATTGTTCACCATCTTAGTTCAGACTCATATAATGCATATTATTGACAAAAAAATTAGTGATATATATATATATATATACACATATTTATATATAATTTAATATAATAGTTCGCATGTTTATATAATGAAAATGAAAGTCTATTTGATAAAGTGAATGCCAACATCAAAATTACATCTTACAGAAGAAAAAAAACTTTTGTCCTATATATATATAAATATTTAAATTTAGAACATATATCAACCTATTGCTTATTATGCACAAAGGAATCTTATTGCTGTTCACATTTTCTTTTCTTTTTTGCTATTTGGTACATTAAAAAAAAAACTCAGAATTGGTTTTACACAATACACAACACAAAACTAAGTAAAACAAAAAGAGATAGTAAAATTGAAACAAAATTAGGGTTTTACTGTACATTCTTAACAGAGAAAGAAGCTCTTTACGGTAGGTGGAGCCCAGCTCAGCTCGGGACCCAAAACCTTTCCCAAATCTGAAGCATATTCCACAGAATGTACCTTTTCAATTTCCCCATTAGTGTATTTATTTATTTATTTATTTATTTTGTTGTTTCATAGATGGATCATAGAAAAGAATCAATACTTTTTCAGGAATGGGATGGTATTGTACATCATCAAATAGAGAGATGCCAACCATGAGAGCTACCAACATCCGTAGAAGTCTATTTTCTCTACATACAGAAATCGAAGCTCTTCTTTGGGCGATAAAGTGTATGATTGGTGCTGACAACCAATATGTAGCTTTCTTTACAGACTGTTCAGATTTGGTAAAGATGGTGTCTTCTCCAACCGAATGACCAGCTTTTTCAGTAAAAAGGACTTTCAAAGTGACAGAGAAGAATTTTCAAGGTTTTCTTTATCTTTAATTCCTCGTAGCGCAAATGTAAAAGCAAATAAATTGGTTCGACAAATTCGTACTGAACCGTTTCATATCACATATGTAAACAACATTTCGCAGAAATAACTCTTTTGAGTGTTTAATTTAAGCTATTGACAAAAAAAAAATATTTATTTTATTTTTTTTCTTTTCTATCTCGTTTTTTTTTATAAAAGAAATGAACAAGAAAAAAGGAAACGAAGGAACTAATATTGAAAAAAGGAAACGAAGGAACTAATATTTGCCTCTTCTAAATATACACCGAAGGAACCAATTTTAGAATATACAATAAGTAGGTTGTACAGTTTCTTATTCTGTAAATCTAAAGAATAGAAAAACATTTTTTTATTTGATTTTTACGAGTTTCGACCCTTGTTCAAAAACGCGGCCAAGGCGGCCGATTACGCGGCGACTAGTCGCTTGGCGGCAAGGGACCGCCGGAATTAGGGTAAAATCGGATCAAAAATCGGAAATCTTGAAAAACTTGATTTTTTTGTTCTTTTAAAGGTTGAAAATGATAGATACTTGATGGATCTAACATATCTAGCAAGAAACACTAAGAAAACAAAAAGAAATGATGAAAACTGAGGAAAAAATCAAGTAACGGCAGATTTAAGGTTGCAGATCTCTCATTTTCTAAAGGTAGAAGATGAGGGTATTTTGGTAATTTAATACCAATTAAACGTAAAATGAACAAAATAGACATAAATGTCACTGGAACAACTCGAACTCCCCACCCGTATAAGAGGTACCGCCCTTAAAACCACTGGACCAACTTGCGTTTTTGATTTGATTTCCATACGAATCATATATATACAATATATAAGTAAAAAATATAAAAAAGTAATCCCGATTAATCCCTGTTTAATCTCCGATTTTTCGGCTAGGCGCTAGGCCCAGCTCGAGCGCCCGACTAACGCCTAGCGATTTTTTGAACAAGGGTTTCGACGATAGAATTCAAATGGTAGACAGCAAAAGATTCTATGGTTAAAAAAAAAAAAAGATTCTGTGGTTAGTAATTTACTAGATATATCTCTATACTGTTTTAGAGTTTTTGGCTTATTCTTTCATTTATGTTCTGATTGTTGTGAAGATTGTAGAGACAAATAACGTGTCGTGGATGACACAATGACTCAAATGACTATATATAGATCATTAATAAGTCCTCAAACTATTTAGGGTTTCGTCAATAGCTTGTAGGTTGTACCGGTCAAACCAGATTTTGGCTGATTTTGTAAATCACTCCTTTATTCCCGGTTTAGGTTTATTAATAAAATTATTAGTAAGGTTAAAAAAAAAAAGTTCTCAACTATATCCAAACATTACAGTGGAAACACATATATTAGTTCAGAGATTTGAACCAAACATGAAAAGCTTTTAGTTGCGGAGTTTATTTATTTTTGGTAAACTAGCTTACTTATATAAAATGTTGCAGCAAGATGTCAAAAGTTTGAATAATATTTGATCCGTTAGAAATGGCCACAAGAATATTGATCTAATGTTAAAATTTGTTAATAGATCTAATGTAAGTTTAGACGGAAAAAAATCCTAGATAAAAATTTATTGTTGAACACTTTGCAGCATAGGTATTGGTTCGGAGCTCATGAGAGTCCATATATACAGGCATACACTCTTTTATATGTCTTGTTGTTCTACAATATATATAGATGGACTACTAAAAATAGTAGGAGCACATCAAATGCTTGAGATTACTTCTCAGATTTTTTGTTTAATGATAATTTGTTTGTTCACATATTTTTTTTTATGAATATTAACAGTCATTTACTTGCATGTTTAAAAAACAACGCTGATACAAATCACTAGACTAGAAATTTCAGTTATTTTCTATCATTACATTTTCTATATACACATAATTAATAGCAAAATAATTAGTGCTATTTTGAGAAATGTGGAAGAGGTAATTATATTAAAAGTTAACAACGTATATGTTGATGTATCTTTATTTTTATAACGGATATACATTATTTAATCAGAAAAACTCATAGTAACAATATATATATAGAAATCAGCCAAACTAGTAATACACGGAAACTAAAAATGATCATAAGTAATTATAATTAATAAGTTAATTTGAAACCAATTGAATAATTTTTTTTATCAACTAAACATGGATTAAGAAGTCCCTCCATAATTAGTAGTCCAATCTGGAGGATAAGTGTTTACAAATGAAATTTTATAAAATAAAATTTTAGAATGACGGGCTAGAATTTGCCTTAGCATTACAAGAGCGAAAAACACTAAAAAGTGAGAAGAAAAAAAACGAAACACGAAACAGACCAATCTCGTCTAGCTGATTGGAGAATACGGGTCAGTCTTCCAACATCTGCATCATCAAAACTAGTTCTACATTATTTGTCATTCTGTCTGGAACAGCCGACAATCAATCCTTTGTGAAAAAAATATTTTCATAACCATTGAATAATTTTATTTTTGAGGTGGAGATTTGTGGTTTCTGAGTTAGCTTATTATATTTGTATTTTCATAGGTTGATCCTCATCCCCCACCATGGCTGTCCTTCAATTTAATAAAGCTGTATTTTCACTTTCACTATGAGTTATTTTTTATATTGTCATTTTCCAGAAAATCGAATTTAGATTGTGCATTATATATTCTGACGAAAACAAAGATATTTTTTTTTGCATTAATTTAATAAAGAATTATTCATTGAAAACGCAAGTATCGTTCATCTCCTCCAAATGTTCTTTTTTCTTTTAATTTTGCTTTCTCTCTAAAAGTCCAACAGCGACAACATAAGTTTCTCTCTCTACAATGGCGTGTCTATATAAAGCAAGGTCGTCGATTCATAACGACCATCTCCATTACTTCTCCATAACCTATCAAGAAACAAAAACAAGATAAGATCTCTTCTGATTCAACACTCCAAGAAATTCAAGAATCCAACTCGTTTAGATTCTTTCTTAGCTCAAGAATGAAACTGATTGAGAAAACGATGAACATGACTATGGAGGAGGAGGAGAAGCAAGACGGTGGTGAGGTTTTCCATACCATCGAGGTAGCTAAAGTTGACCGGAACTACGTGTCTCCGCCGGCGGCGGCTACAGCTGCACCACTGCTAGAAGTTTCCGGCGAAGAACTTAACCTGATTCCACCGTTGAACTTTGCGATTGTTGATAATGGTATATTCCGGTCTGGATTCCCGGACATAGCGAACTTCTCCTTCATCAAGACTCTTGGCCTTCGCTCAATCATGTAAGCTTTCAAGAACTTTGATTAATTGACTCTTATATTGAAAACGTTGGAACACTTGATTTAATTAGGTTTTTGTGTTTTGTTTGTGTATGGGAAATGTGTGAAGATCTTTGTGTCCAGAGCCATATCCTGAGAACAACATGCAGTTCCTCAAATCCAATGGAATTAGTCTTTTTCAGTTTGGCATTGAAGGCTCCAAGTCCAAGGTGTGTGTCATTTTTTTTTTTTTTTTTTTTTTTCACTTTTTGCTACTCTCTGTTCATAAATGTCCATTTCTGAATTGCTTGATCCCTGGCTTAACTTGTTCTGTAATTCTGATTTTATGGCTTCAAGTTGTTGCCAAAACCTGAAAGAATTCTTACAATTGAAAGTTCATATCTTGAATTTTCAGTGTCTCCCCGGGTTAGAGAACGAGGTTTGGTTGCATATTTGGAGTTCTAAGCATCAGAAAGAGGGTTCCTATACAAATGGAAATTCGAAAACTTCGGTATTAATCAAAATACTATTTGGAGTTCTAATCACAATTTGAATTGCTTATTGTTGCCTAATTGTGCATGTCTCTCTAGTTTTATGTTTACTTAGGTGTGTTATGATTTAGATTAGAAGAATGGCATTTCATGTATGGATTTTTTGTCTTGGACTTGACCCTTTAAGAGATTATTCTAATTATCCATATTTTTTTTTATATGACCGCCCAAGAAAAGTGTACACCATTCTTTAATGCTTTATTGAAGGATGCTTTTCTTGGCTCTGTCCGTTACCATTGACTCTATGGTCCCACTGTTAGTTTGCTTGCCATTCATCAACTAATACCACTTGGTCCTCTTACTGCATATATATAAAATTTAGATAATGGGCTGCGTCAAAAAAACTTGCTTGCATACAAGTATTGTCAGATCCACTACTCAAAAGTTTTACTTTCCTTTGTGTTTATGTTGATACTGTTTTCTTGGTTCATATTAGTTGTGTGTGCACTTTGATGCATGAATGGTATCTTATGTAATCTTAAATTAGAAAAGGAAAAATAAAGTGTTTCTTGTGGTAGTACAAGTTGTAGTTGAAGTAGCTTTTTTGGGTTTTGGTGGTGAAAACTTTGTAGCTAGATAGTGACTTGTCGACAATGTGTTAATGATAAAAGTATCCACACATCAACTGGTAGGTATAGTACATAAATCAAGCTGGAATTAAGTGATAGATGGTTATATAAGTTATGTCAGTTACTGTTGTGTAAGACCTACCTACCTATTTTGCTAATGTTTTAGTGGCTCATCCGCTCATGTTTGGATAAAATGACTTTTCGTTTCGAGGAATTGTTGGTATGAGAGGGAATAACCTTAACGTAGAGTTTTGAACTAGTTATCTTGATCTCAAAGTGTATAATATGGAACTTTTTAGATTTAAATGCAGCCATAATTAAGAAAGAAATATTTTACTTTTAGTTGAACAAGTTTGTACAACTTGTGATGGGGCGGCTAGTTTGATTTGATCTAGCACATCTTTATATTCGAAAAGAGAAGGCTGAAAGTATACAATTGTGCTGATTTTCTGTTGTGGTAGTGATCGTTCTCTGTCACACATATTAAGCCTTTTGTTGTCAATTCTGTTTCATATGATTGTTTGTCAATTTTGCTTTTAGACTAAACATGAAATAAAGTAGCTTTTCTCCTTTTCTCAGAATGATTTGACTAGAAGGGTATTGGATATTCCACATTCATATAAATTTTATTATGTCTCTCTAGTTTAAATCTGCTTATTGGCTAAGATTCTTTATGTTGGGTATGACAACTCTCTAGTCTCTAGTCTTCATATGAAATCATTTTCATTATTGGCTGCTTTTGATGGACCCTCTTTGATCTTGTGTTTATATTTTTGCTGTGCTTAACTTTTTAAAAACAGGAAGATAGAATATACTCCACAGCTCTTTTACAGTACTCTAGGGAATAGCCAAAACCAATCTAGTTTTCTGATCAATTTCGATCTCTAAGAATGAATATAGCCGACACATGAAATGTCTCATCATAATTTAGATATCTTTTTTCTGGCTTGTGTGTTACTAAAGACTTACCAAGGAACTGATAATGTGATCCTCAATTTTGCAGGAGCCATTAGTAGATATCCTAGATCATAAAATCCGTGAAGCACTCAAAGTCCTTCTCGGTAAATATCATAGAAGCCCTAAACAAAGAAGTAAAGAGAAAATCATATGTTTTGGTTATACATGTCTTCTAATCTCGTTATCTTCTTTTTAATCCTCAGATGAAAAGAACCATCCACTTTTGATTCATTGCAAACGAGGCAAGGTATGTAAAATTGTAATTATCTCCTTACACGAGTTTCATTCTCTTTGTTTTGACTCAACACAATGGTTATGATCATTGCAGCACAGAACCGGGTGTCTTGTTGGATGCATGAGGAAACTCCAGAAATGGTGCATAACATCGATATTCGATGAGTACCAGCGATTCGCAGCGGCTAAAGCTAGAGTTTCGGATCAAAGGTTCATGGAGTCATTCGATGTGTCAGGCTTGAAGCACATTCCAATGTCTTTCTCTTGCTCCAATAGGTAAATTGAAAACGGAATAAAGAAGGTTAATTTGATCAATCGGTCAGCCCCTTTTTCCATAGTTAAATAACAAAATTAAAGGAGGAATTATCATACTGGTTTTTTGTTTTCTTTTCTTTTTCTCCTGAATCAAATAAAAACAATAATTAATAATTAATTGGAAGAAGAAGAAGTATATTCCTTTTCTCTTGATTCTTTTGTAAGCTAAACTAATAATGTCCTCGAGTCAGTGTGTATTTAGCTAGATAAATAATTAGATATAGAAAAACATAAACAGAAGCTTCTGAGGTTTGTCAACAAGCGAATTTTCGTTAGTTCCGAAAACTAAATTGGAAAAACATGACAATACAAAACATAACTAACTTATCCGAACGAGATAAACTGTTTAACGACAACAAAATAAAACAACAGTTTAGTTTAATACTACGAGATTTATTTAGCCAACTGCAGGATTAGTATACTCATCATGATGATAATGCGAAGCTATCACTATACATACTAAACTGAAAATTAAGACTAACTGGTATCGTAAACCGATGACACATATACGACGTCGACCAAACCTCTCCTTGATGAGTCACATCCGAGTCCAATCATTCTTCTCATCATTTCCGACAGGCCACATCAGGTTAACGTGAGTCACGACACCAGTCTGTTCAGCTTCTTCTTCAATCCCGTGATACTCACAATGTTTAAAAACCACAGTCATTGCTTCTGGTATTCGACGGCGAGGATGAAATCTCGTTGTAGCGAACGGTTCGATCTCGTCGTCCGTTGTGTATAGAAAATTCCGATTAGCTTCGTTGACTGAAGGAAACCCTCTCACGGTGACGTAACTGACACCGTGGAAAGAATCGAGTTCAATGGAACATAATCGTTGAAATATTGTTAAAAATGATGATTTAATTAGTTATATTTTTACTAAATTGATTATAATTAAAAGGGTATTTTTGGTAGTTACAGAAAACAACAAACTCGAGTTCTACAGATCTAATTAAATTACCAAATGTCGTTGGCAAGTGAACCAAAATTTTGATGTCTCACTAGTCACTTGTATCGACTGTGCATTGGTGTGTTCAATTGTTCACTGGGTTTCGTCATCAACAACTCAACAATGTTATCTAAAGTCGTTTCCATAACATTAGTTATAATTACATTCTTTACAAAATCATAAAAATGCTCTCTCTCTCATTTTTTTTATTTTGTTGTTATATCCAAAACTTACCAATTCTGAGGAAGACACACTATGAGATTTGCAAGAAGAGTGCGTGTGTGATTGCTTTCTTTCCTATATATACAACATCATTTGGCTGATTTGGGACAATCTTTCTTGGCACCTATCTATCTATACCCTAACCTATCATATACTCTGGTAAGAAAACAAATCAAAAGAATTAAGATTTTCGTGTTGACTTCTATGCAAGGTGCAATTTCCGTCTCGTTTCGTCTCCCTGCGTAAAAATGATCAAAACCCGGTGTGGGAAACGCAGGTAAGCCAAACTGATTCCGATAAGAGAAGAAACATTGATGAAATTGAGAGAAAACTTACTGTACGTTGATTGTTCTTAGCAGACATGCCATGTCTTGAGTCTATAGATTCTGATCTCGTGGTTCGTCCATGTACTCTCTGGATTAACTCTTGTATGTGATTATATGTACTGCAAAGAGAAACCAGATCAATTCCAAAAAATAGATGTCGGAAATGGTCATATAGCAAACAAAGTGTAAATGTGAGTGAGATAACACTCTACCTAAGCCGATGTCTGTTACAGGCAGCAAAGAAGGCCACAAAACCGTTCAATATACTCCTGACAGCACGAAATACCTGAAAATGAAGCAAAACAAACACATTTAGTAATGATTGAAATTGCGAGGATTCCTATTTTTTCTATTGTACTTGACATTGTTTACTGACATGAGAAAAGAGGTCGTTCCAAAGAGTACGCCACATGGAGACTTCATAAGTCTTCACAGCTGCTTGAGAATCTGATGCAAGCTGAAGTATACTGCTCATATACCTCCATAAATCTCCAATAACATCGAATATGTATGAAAAGGAAACAGCTAAACAGTTGGCCAATGCAGCAACCACTCTGATCGGTGCATATACCACTTCCCATATGATCCAGAAAAGAGGCAGTAAAACAGTATTTGCTGTAGCATCAAAAAGAAGAAAAAAGATCAGGATTATGATTATATACTTAAAAGATAAGAAAATTAAAGCTCAAGCAAACATTTGATTACTTACTGAGGTTCCAAACTAGTGAGACGATAAACCAAATGGGCAAAAGCACCAACTCTACCACATCACCAACGAGATTGCAACCAGATTCAATCACAATCCAAACCACGGAAACCAAGCTCGCCACTGTTTCCGCCAACGAATTCCATAATGGTAGGAGCAAACCAAGAACTTCTAAGAGAGGATTTACCAGAGGCATTATGCAAAAAGAAACAAATGACTGCATAGCACGTGCCATAGTCAGAGCCCACTTGACAGCTTTCTGGAAGTTGTGAAGAAACAACATCGTTCCCAAGTACTTTATCCGTGATACCATGTCCCATGTTTCAACCCAATCAAAGAGTGGCCCACATAACCGAGCTGCAGTAGCCTTCAGAACGGGGACATTTTTGTACAGGTCATAAAAACCAATCACAACAGTGATGACAGATATCATCACATATAATGCTCTGGCGAGAAGGCACATCCAGGGTCGATAAAGATGACAGAAACCGGGATAAGACTGCAGAAACAAGACCCAGGACGGGAGACCAGCTTCAAGTAAAGTAAGCAAGCGTATGTCAGCCATTATAACCTCTCGCAATTTAAAAGGAAGATCACGGTCACCACACTTAACAAGAACTAGTACATCCTTATACTGCGTTGCTTCAGTGATATTCTCACAATCAGGTACATGGCTTTCCCAGTGGTCTACCGAGTTATCTTTCCTTTTGGGTGTTTCCTCCATATAGTCAACTTCAACTCCGGTGCTGATTGCCTTAGTTACTCTTCTTCTCTTGTATGGTCCAGTCAGAGGCGGTGTGTGAGGCTCGTTTTCATCATAATCTACAGCAGCATGATTAACGTTGAAGACACTTCTGGCGCAGCAAGGAGAGTCATTTTCAACAGAACGATTGTCGCTGCTGAGGTTGTCATCATCATCAAAGGGAGAAGTTTTTGAGAATTCCATTTCAGCGTCATGAAAAACCTCTCCTGCAAGAGTTACGATACTATAAGCTTATTTAAGCTAGAAGCCCATAAAGGTGCAACGTTTAAGGATGCAATAAGATGTATCACCAACTAAAGCAAATTTGCCTGAAGAAAGGAATTTCAAAGCAAAATCAGAGCAGATGTTCTTTATGATACTATAATACCTATAGTCGAGTCGAGATATTCCCTCAAGAAAGACTTTTCAGCTTTTGATCCCGAGAACCACTGAGACATGCTTTTTACAGCTTGATCGATACTCTCAAACTCCCACCTTCGCATCAACTTAGCTTCTATAGCAAGAGATGTGTCTGTCTGCATAAAGATATAGATCAAGTAAAAAACAAGAATAACGTACAATGTCAGACCAAAACAATGGAGAGTTGCAAGGAGTACCTGTAGCTCATTTAAGTAGTTGATACCCCTCACATTAGCCCATTCAATTTCAAACACGATGAAACCATACAAGGTCTTGTGCAGTTGCTTGTTTAGATACAAAGAGCTTTGCAGTTTCTTTGCAGGTAATTTCTTCTTCGAAAATGTTGTCGCATCTATCACTGAGAACCATTTCTTAAGCTTCTTCATTTTTTTATCGTCCGGCTGGGGCTGAGAACAAGCCTCTTTAGGCTTTTTCTCCTCCTTCGGCTTCGACTTTTTCTTCTCCCCCTCCTGCTTCTGATTTTTCTTCTCCCCTCGAACTTTCGTGTTTGCGAAAGGAGAGAGTCTGGACTGCAAACAAAGATAGATGGGTCACTTCACTATATTTTATACATGAACAACAAAGAGAAATATACTTGAAGCAGCTTTTACAACCTTTGTAACCATTAATTGCCAGAAATGAGCAGATTTGGTTCCAGGATTCAACCATGGCCGGTTGTCCACCAATATGTAAATCTTTTTACTTTTATTTCCCAGGAAAATACTGAGATCAGAAAGATACGATTGCAAGTCTCTGAAACCAACCATAAAACAAAGGTTAAGCAGAGAACATCAAGCAAATAAAATGTGACAATGTAGTAAACTCTTTAAAACAAACACGCAAGTATCATCAGATTTAGAGCTCTGCATAGAAAAAGAAACCAACACGAATGAGATTTAAAACTATCACAGACGTAGAAGAGAATTTCATGAAACTGGACAAGAGAATTGCTAGAACAAATAGCTTCAACTATATTTCAAATCACATGGAGATGTGTAAGACATTAACACCAAGAACTGATACAACTTCAGATTCAGGAAAGGAATATAAAGCCCGGAATCAGAATTCTAAAGGTATTCGATTCCATTTGAATTCAAGATAATGAAAAGAAAAAAAAAATGCTTTAATTGCAGAATATAGATATAAATTGTCAAAACCAAAAGAGATCTTGTTTTGTCTGGAAGGACAACATATTTTCCATTAAAGGTTCAACAAGAACTGAAACAAGACTTATATATTAGTATATTGTACTTCTAAACAGGTCACATAATTCCATATTCATAGACAATAAATACCTGCAGAATCATTGATCCTGGCTCTGAATCATAACATTAAAAAAAAAAAAAAAAAGTGGAAGAGAGATAATTACCCGATCTGGAGACTCGTTAAGGGGAAAACACATTTAGATTCATCACCAATCCCCATCTAAATCCCAATATTGCACTCTAATTTCCAATTAAACGTCGAATTGACCTCAAAATCGCTCAAAATCACTGAAACAAATCGAAAGACATAACTCCAGATTATTCGTCATTATCATACTCGACAACAAATACATCCGAATGTTCCACAGAAATTACACAAGAGCTTCGCTTTGAGAGAAAGAGTTGATGAAGCTATTGCCGTTGAGGTTTCTAAAATTTAATGGTAGTTGGTAAAATTTTGTTAACTTAATAGAAAAGGAAACTCTTAAACCTAAGGAAGGAAAAAAAAATAGAAAACTCAAATCGTATAGAATCGAATCTACCGAGCGCCGGCGAACAAAAACAGCCGGAGAAATTGAAACCACACGGCGAAAAACGGATCAGAGAAAAATCAAAACCACCATTAATGTAGCAAACAACGACAACCGCAAATCAAAACCAGAGGTTTAGGTTTATCACCAGAGAATCAAGAAATACGGAATTTGAAATTTGAGAGAGAGAGAGAGAGAGAGAGAGAATTTGGGTTTACTTGGAATGGAAGAAGAAGAGAAGAATATTTCCAAAAAAGAAGTCTCAGGGAAAGAGAAGGGTAAAATGGTAAATTTGGAAGCCGAGGAAGACGGAGAATGGAGATTGTTGTTATGGCGCCAGGGTCTCGTCGGTTTTTAATCTTCATTCACCGGAGCACGTTGAAGAGAGAGAGAGACGAAGAAGAGAAGCTTATGGAAGATATATAAACGCGTGGGATAAGGTCCTTCTTTGGCAAGCGCGTGTAGTTTTCTATTTTCTTTAATTTACATAATGGTCCTTTAATATTTGTTTTCTCTCAGATAAGCCGCATAATAATAATGGATCTTTATTAAATGAGCAATAAATGGTATTTATTTTATCGCATCATGAAGAATTGTAAATATCGGTAATGAATAAAATTTTGCATGATTATCAAACACTACAAAAAAGAAGGGTTTTGACGTCAGTTTTAAAATGCTTTAACGTCGGTATCAGAGTGACTCTAATAATATAACGTCGGTTTTGAAAATGACTTAACAAGGGATGACGTAAATTTATGAACACATAATGGTTTTGGTTCTGTTTCCAATTTCAAGCATATTTCATTTGATTGTCGACTCATTACCGAAATCAAGCAGAATTTGCATTGATCTGTAATACAAACACAATCTTCATAAATGACTCCTTTCGGACATAGACTATTATTTTCTTCGTAAATTTTGACTTACTTACACTTGTTTTCATTGTCACCAACACATAATCGTTTATGCAAGGTTGGAACATTTAGCATATAATTCGATCTGGGCTTTGTGTTTTGAGATCGATTTCAATCTAGAAACTGACATTGGCTCCGAAAATTCAGAACTCCTAATGAAAAATCTCCAAATACAACATAACAGAGAAGAATTCCAGGCAAAGAAAAGAAACAAAGACAGAAATAAGAAGACAATTGAACTGACCTCTGCCATTGATTACCGTAATGCGTTTGTCTCCACTGCGTGAAAAGCCTGAAACCTCAAGAAAGAAGAAACAGAGAAGAAATCCTTTGAGGCTTTGACTCAGATTTGGGAAAAAAAAAGAAAAAAAGAAAAGAAATCAGAACCAGTTTAATCACTAAAACACCGGATTAAACTCATATCTCAGTATCAGACTTATCAGACTTAAAAACAGTCTTAAACTCATATCTCAGCATCATTATCAAACATTATGCAATTTGCTGTTATTCATACCTATTGTAGTTTGTCCCAACTACTGCCAATTCATCTACCTCTGTGAAGTGTAAAATGTGTCGTTGCTTTTCTTAATGAGCAAACAAAACATATCACTGCCAAAACCAGATGATAAATCAATCAAAACAAGACCAGATTGTGACTATAATCGATTCAATGATTCATTGGAACAAGTCCATATGCTTCTTCAAGATCCTCAAAGAATATACTCTCAACTTATTGAGGTAGTAGAACACAAAGACTCGAATCAGTCTTGGCTAGAATCAACTCCTTACTCTAGATCCACATTGTCTGTGCAGATTGAACAAATTAAATCATCTCTTAAACTCAGGTCAATCCGTGAATTCATCTATGGGAAGTTCCTCTATACCAATTGAGAGCATCTACTTCGAAACTCAATCACTGACATTGGAATCGAGCAACCAATTTTCTCTTAAAAGGATCGATGATTTCAAGCACTGACATTTCAATTTTCCGCAGCAAACTATCATGATTCTCCATTATCATAAGTCAATGTCCGATAACCTAACGGCGAATATCTCCGGTCATGTTCCAAGTTAGAATCAATACCTGATTTGGTGGTTTCGACGAGCTTCGATGCTCTCGTTTCGTCTCGATCTGGTTACAGAGATCATCGATTTTGGATCTGCTACTCCGCCTCTGAGCTTGAATCCAAATGGATATTGAAATCAAAGAATCAGAACTCCACCACAACGACGATAAGCTTAGATATAGAAGCTCGTAAATGGAAGAGATCATAAGCGATCGGAAAGTTTTGTTACTGGAAACAATTAGGGGATGTTATTGGTTGTATTAGTTTCTAGATAAATGAAAAAAAAATCGAAGTATTAATAAGTGACGCAAACGATTAAGTCGGTTTCTTAAGTAACGCAAAATACTTCTCTAATTGAAAGTTTAACGTCGGTTTACTAATTGACATCAATATACCGACGTTAACCGGCGTGTTTCTTGTAGTGAAAATATATGCGAAACTGTTAGATTTAGATACATGAATCTTTTTGTCGTATAGAATATGTTTTCTAGATGCGATTCTATTGACTCTATGTATTATTGTCAAATGTCTTTACATAAATGGAATAAGAAATAAATAAATTGTGGACAATAAAAATAAGATTTTAGTGAAGCAATAAATCGAGAATTAAAGACATGAAAATAGGTGTCGAGAGTGGGGAATTTGACGCATGGACAATAAAATGACATTTAAGTAGTGCTTTGAAAAGTGTATCATCGACATTTAAAGTCGAGAGAAACACGAATATCTATCGCCTACGTCGGTACATAAATTGCTTGCAGATAATTTATTCGTTTAATTTAGTTGCACGTATCTCAGAAATAATATATTATCGAAAATTGAGAATTGAATGGGAAGAAAAGTAATGTAAAAAAAAAACAAAAAGATTTTTTTGTTTCTGGAAAATGTCTAATGGCATATGCTTTTGACCAAGTATAAACCGCTAAACCGAATAAACCAGAGGGTTGGTCTGATATTTGGGTTTTATGAAAGTTATTTTAAAGGACACGCGTTCGGGCGCGTGAGGACAAGAAGTGGGCCAAGACCAAATCAAAATTTGGACGTATGTGATCGATTCTGTTTCGAATACAAAAACCACGGAAATATAGATAGACCCAGAGAGGAGCTCGTGGGTGGGTCCTTAACGCCGCTTTATGATCTACGTAATTATTGAGAAACCAACGCAAGTGATGTCTCTCAATTAATCTATATAAACCTACATATGATGGATGCATTATTGCAATTTTTCACGTTACCTGCATTATACCATATAACAACAACAAAAAATGTGTGTTGCAATAAAGATTCTATAATTTGTTCTGAGTTTTTAGTCTAGATGTTGTTGCTACCAAACAAAAAAAAACAAAGAACCGGTAGTTAATACTTGCCTCTATGATTTTGATAACAATATTAATAATTGACTTTGAAGTTTTCCTAAATACACAAACTACTCTTAAGACCAGACCGGGCTATGTAACTAGGTTGCTAAATTATGATTAGGCACAGCGGTTCTCAATTAAAGTTGTCTTAAATTCATGGTCTACCCTCTAATAGGGCTGGGATTAAATATCCGGATCCGCCAGATATCCGAATCCGGATCCGGGATCCGATCCGAAAAACCGGATATCCGGGTGTGCGGATCCGAATCCGGATCTTGATTTTTTGGATCCGGGCGGATCCGGATCCGGATAACATTAAAATATAGCAACGGATATCCGTTATCCCGCATATATACAGGGCTTAATTTTTTACCTGGGCTTAAAGTCTGATTATGGTCTAATATGTACAACATTATGGTAAAAAATAATAATCTCAACTTGGGCTTAATGTTTGACTTGGCCCAATACGTATGATGCTTAAAAAAATTCAGATTATGTCAAAAATTAGGTTTAGCTTCTTTGATTTCTTTTTCCCAAAAAAAAAGAAAAGCCAGCCACCACCACCTCTCTGCCTTATTTTCTATCTGCTTTGTCTTCTCCGACGAATCAGCTAAGCAACTACCGTCACGTCTCCTCTCCGCTTCATCTTCCAATATAAACAGCAGATATGTTCGATCCCATAGCACTCGATGCGACGCCATAAGCCTCTTCTTCGATGGATTTCGCTATGGTCCATGCTTCATCAGATTTTTGAATCTGGCCAAATTCAGAGCGAGATGACGAGATCTAGAGCGAGATGACGAGATCTAGGGCGAGTCTTGGCCGAAAGCTGGACGATTCTCTTCAACGATGGCTCAATCTAGGGTTTCGTCGACATTGAAAGAAGTTCAGACCGGATCCGGATATCCGCGGATAACCGGGTTTTTACACGGATACCCAAAACTCAGATATCCGGGGTAGCCGAATCCGGATCCGGATCCGGATATTAAAACGTTGGATCCGCCGGATACGGATCCGGATCCGGATACACCCAATTTTGCCGGATATCCGGATCCGTCTCAGAGCCACCCTCTACATACTACAATATCTAGACCATAGGAGTTATTAAGTGCAACGATTGTGCCTATGAATTTAAGCTAATCTTTTTTTTTTTAGACTTATCTTTAAATATCTTTAGATTTCTCGACTAAAACAATTCCCACATCTATGAAATATTTTAATTTTGCATGATAGCCATATGGACCATCAAAACCAGTGTTACAAAATATATACTCTTTAAGTTTCACTCAAAGATTTCAAATAGAAATAAGAAAATCTATAAAGGACACTAATGCTGATAAAACAAAACACGATCGATATTAAAAAGCTCAAGCAAACAACAAAAGCCACTGTTTAAACGCTACTCTTTTTTACAGAAGGAGGCCAAGATAGTCTCCTGTTCGAATTGTTATTACCATCTTCTTCTTCTTCTTCATTTTTATCATTGTTTTGTCTCCTTGTGTTATGAACAGCTAAGTCGTCGAAGCTTGACTCTATTCTCCCTTGAGGTGGAGTCACACAATCTGAGTCCCTATGTGTCATTTCGTTACCTCCTGGTGTTGTTGGTAAAGAAACTGCAGAGTTGCCAACTCGAATGTCTTGAAGAGTCGCGAATGATTCTCTCATCGCAGACATTGCCTCAAAGAATCTTGTGCATGACGCTAGTGCCACAGGTATTGGACGCAGCATTTCCTATGATTTTTGGGGAAAACAAAAGGTAAAGAGATTGAGATTGTAAGTTGTAAAACCAAAATCAACTGTTTTGCAACACATTACATAAAAGTAGCAATCTCTTTCTCTCTTGATACAAAGAGTTTAAAAACATAGAAT